TTACATAATTAGTATTTTATATTGCACCAGGTTAAGATAGTAGATCGGTTCAAATGTATTGATCCGGTTTAAGCCTTTTCATGTGAGAAATATTTATGGTGATGCGTTAGTTTGCTGCTATAAACAAGAACTTCTTGTTTAATTATTGTTATGAAAATATAAATAAATAACTGAAGCTAGAATGATGTTTTAATGTGAAGTTGTGGGAATTATTGGATTTGAAACGTTAGACACACCTATCCGCCTAATGACAGCTCTGTTTGCAATCACGATACAAGCACATTGTTTTTACAATAGCTTTTAGTAGATCCGTAGCAAAGTGACACTCTCAAAACTACGAGTGATACTTAAAATGCTTCGATTTTATAAAAGATGATACACAAGAAGCATGTTGCATCTACTGGTCGATAATAGAGTTTTAGAATGAATCATATAAATGAAATAGTATACTAGTTGTGGCATTATTAGGGGCTAAAATATTTTCACAATATTTGCTTGTGTAAAAAGAAACAACTATACAAGTTTAATACCTATCTTCAAACAAGAAGTTCGTAATTGAGCAATCAATGTTTCCTCCAAATGAAATAATAGTTCTGTTAGAAAACTTTTAGGCATCTGATTATCAAAAACGTAAATTGATAACTTTTCTACGAGTTTTTAATGTTATACTCTCAAAATACAACTAAAATACATTCTAAAATTGAGTGAAGGATAGCACAAAAATTAGACAAAGAATATTATCATACCGCATGTTCTAGTTCATCATCTAATCAAAATAGCATTTTTCTACGATTTCACATAAACATGCGACTTTATGACTGGATTTGAAATGTCTGCGATTCGGTACATTTCTAATCGAGTGTCTAATATGTTGTCACGCTCTTAATCGAAATTTGATTTGTTAGATGACAATGATGAGATCATTTTTCTTCAAATTGTTGTCTTTTCTATTATTGAAAACTACAACGCACTAAAAACATAAATGAGTATAGTTAATACTATAAGATTCTGATATTTCAGTGCTAGAATCCCGCAAGGAAAACATGTCATGTTGTCTTACACTTCGATCAATCAAGATATTGTGTTGAAAATCGCGGATATTCTCAAAGGTGAAAATATGCCAGTGTGGTTTGATAGTAACGGTGATATGAAAACTGATATATATGAAAGGTATTTCTATCAAACAGTACTACTAAACCGATTCAAACTGTATATTGATTGTGTTTCCTACGTAGTCTGACTAATGGAGTTGAAAATGCTGTAGCTGTCTGTTGTTTTCTGACATCGAACTATGAACAATCCTTGAGCTGCCAAAGTGAATTACAATATGCACAAAAGCGACAGAAACCAATCATTCCATGTATGCTCACTAGTGCAACTGCTTGGAAGCCATCCGATTGGTTAGAACAAATAACCCGAGGACTCGTGTTCGTCGATTTTCACAATGTATCTGAATCTAATATCGATTACAAGGTTATAGACTTAATTAATGGAATAGAAGAGCAAATTACAGCAACGTCACATCAACGAATACAACCAATCGAAGAGCCAAGCTATCTGCTTGAATTGATTAAGTGGCATTACAAACAAAATAGTCGTATAGAACGCTTAATGAATCCAGCTGAGTCTTTTCCGATTGAAGAAAGTTACATTAATTTGGCTATAGTAGATTCGAAAGAACAACAGGCAAAAGAAAAGAACCTTCATGATGCTAATCAACATGAGACAATAATGGAGACCTTTGAAGATATCTACGGTGTCAAAACGCCCATAAATGTCAAAGATATTTTCAACACATGCAAGGAATTTGGAAAAAAAGTACTGGTGTTTGGTCGAGCTGGAATCGGTAAGACCACCTTCTGTCGCTATGTTTCTCATCAATGGGCAAAGAGTGCTCTTTGGCCAGAATATAATTTGGTTGCTTTAATTAGCTTACGCTCTTTAACCGAGAATCGTTATTCTCCGCTGTCATCAGGCAAAAGTTACTCTTTAGTCGATATTGTGGCGAAGGAATGTTTTAGTCATGATCTTTCTGAAGAAGATACAAGTCTTCTGAGAGAGCAATTAAATAAAAGAACCGTATTATGGCTTCTGGATGGGTATGATGAAATCGTGCAAAATGTATCATCACACCTACAACATGTATTCGAACAATTAATCAACACGCCACATCACATTGTGACATCTCGTCCATACTTCAATACTTTGTCTCGCTCTGTACGAGTTGAGATTGTTGGATTCACCGATGGAAATATTAGCAAATATGTAGAAGTATTCTTCAATCAGCTGCGCGATAAATTTCCCAATGCATTATTGGAAGGCTAAAGAGTGTTAAAGTTCTTAAGGCTCAATCCCAGAATTTGGGGTATTGCGCATATTTCAGTGAATTTGGAACTGATTTGCAGTATTTGGAGTGAAACGGATTGGTCAGAAACAACAAATCTGACCATGACAACACTGTACGAAAACATGACAGTCTGGCTTTGTCGGCGATATTTAGCTAGGAAAAGTACTTCGATCCAAATCAGTAAAATGGAACTGTACGAAAAGTGTCATCCAGAACTAACTTTTTTAGAAACGCTAGCATTTGAAGGAATGACCAGTAACACCATAATTTTACGAAAAGAATTGCTCCAGAAAGTGATGCACAATATTGGCTGCTTGTCGGATATCTATTCCGATGCACTGCATATTGGCATTTTGAAATCGTTTGATAATGGACCAACTGGAAGTCAAATTCAATTAGAAAAACATCACTATTTCGTTCATCTCAGTTTCCAAGAATTCTTTGCAGCGTGGCATTTGGTGAGACTCCTCAACAGCACTACCCGTAACACAGCAATCCAGTTCATTGAAAATCATAAGTATGAGAAACGTCTACAACTCGTATTTATCTTTGCCTCTGGTCTTCTCACTCAATCAGAAAACACACAATCAATTCATACATTTTGGGACACCATTTTCGGTGACCCACATGATCTCGTGGGTATTCGACACATGCAGCTTGTGACAGTGTGCCTTGACGAAACACAATGTGACTCCGCGGTGCCACATCGCAGCCAGTCCATATCATTACTACTAAATTGGTTCAGGTTCGCCTGCAACCAAAACATTTTCAAACTACAGGAAATAATTGCAAGGACAATCAATTCATGCAGCAAAATACAGAATTTCCCAGAAATACAGATTGAGTTAGCGTGTCTCTTGAAAACCGAAGCGGAACAGCACACATCACATATAGCAACCTTCATTCGCAAACTGAATATTACCGACCCACACAACCAATTACTTGAATCCTTATCACTTCAACTTGAACACAATGATGCAGCGGTCCGAACGAATGCATGTGGTGCTCTTGGAGAGATCGGCGAAAAAGCATCAACAAGCCAGGTGATTGATCGGTTGGTGGGGGCACTAGGTGATCAGCATGACCAGGTTCGACGGAGTGCATATAGTGCTCTTGAGAAGATGTGCGAAAAAGCTGCAACGAGTCAGGTGATTGATCGGTTGTTGGTGGCACTTGGTGATCTGGTTGAAGGTATTCGCGGTACGGACCTGAGGAGTGCTAGTACGCTTCTTAAATTGTGGTCGTATGCCCTGCAGTGGCTTTCTGATTCCCACGCGAGAGAGTGTGATGTGATGCAGAAATCGAATGTTTACGATGGAATTGATGGAATGTCCTTGAAAATTTTTCAGTTAGTGATTTATACGCATGATTGGCGTTGGCTTTCCATACTTGTAGAATGTTGTCTAATGGAGGAAATATCGGTCATGGTTATCGGTGACAGAGTGATTATGCGTTTCGAGTGGGTGGCAGTGGAGACACGAATCAGAAACTCGGAGCTACTATCAGAGCTGTGCAAGGCTTTTGATGATTTCGGTTTAAAAGTGCTTGATTGCCACCAACAGAATAGTAGAAAACCATGGAGGGAACGAAAATAGGAGTGTTCTTGAGGAAGCACAATTTGAATAATGGAGATTATTTACTTATTGTGATATTTGTGTTTTGATTACTCAGGATTGTTCGCGTGGGTAAGGATGTTGGTGTAAGGTATTGGTTTTCAATGATATTTGAGTGTGAAGAGCAAACGCTACAAATTGTACTTCCTAATTACAGGAATGATCATGTGGCATGTATTAGAGCCCAATGAACTGAAGATCAGTTCAAAATACAAATAAATTTCTACCCGATTGTGTGTGTATTTATTAAATTGATTTCAAGCTCCATAGAACGCCTTCTGACTGCTGTTCATGCAGTCATCAGCAGGTAGGTTCAAAAATATTAAATAGGAGAATAGTCGAAATCACTCTCGGTCTTCTTTTGTATATTGGGAAGTGTATTGGATAATGCACGGTGAATATTACTCTTATTTTAAGTTAGTAGGCAGGTCTACATATTTAGAATGGTAATTAGAAATCTCAGTTCGTTGCTATAAATAAGAGTTCTATATATCTTCCGAATAGAATAAATTTCAGTCGATCGTAGTGTATCTTATTCGTTGGATGTAGCAACTGGTGATGTTTTCAACGCATGTACTTATCTAAGAACCAGTTAACGATGCTATTCATCAAATGTCTGTAAGCTTCACTTTTATCTCGATTCATATGTAAAATAGAATAGTGCTAGCATTTTCCATTATTTGAAGAAGTTATACAGATTTGTTAAAATTCAAATGATTCCTTTATGATAATTCGTTAATCTGATAGACTATTCTGGATAAGTATGTTATGCTTATTCCTTTTTTTTTTATTAAGTGGCCTTTGAAAACTTACAACAATGAAATGAAAAATACAACATATGATACAGGTTTTCCATTGCTATTTTTAAGTTTTCAACTGAATCAGGACTATTCTATTTTGTAGGCATTGATCGCTAATCGAACTTTCGCAGTTCACGACAGGGAACTTTCATATGCATAATAATTGGTTCACCATTTGTAAAGTTGTAGTGTTATTTCTTTTTGGAATTCGATGTATCAAATAAATAGCGTGGATACATTATGCTCTCANCATTGTTCTAATGTATCTCTCTCCTGTCTCTCTTCTATCTCTCTCCTATATATACGTGCGTCATGTATGAAGTTGTTACACTCTGGAGATGTCAGATGACACAATACACCATCATGCCGACGGGCATAGGCGACACTCTAGTTTTGTCGTTACACTCTGGATAACTTGAAGTAGCCTAATAAACATCTTTGCCGAGAGTGGCACAAGCTAATCTAATCAAGTTGTTCGTTATAGGCGTAATTCTGTGTGGGAACTTCGAATATGAGCGGCATTTTTCTTGACGCGCTATTAATCGGTCAGTAATCAATTGCAATCTTGATTTTTGCAAAATTGAGGTCAGATTCGAACGCTCCAACTCGAGTTTTCCGCAGAAAACCATTTGCAGAAAGTTGAATTTCCGTTAGTTTTGGCCAACCGATAGGATCTCCACCTCAAATTACCCGTGGGAAGCAATTTTCTGGAAAACTCGACTTCCTCGGTCCCGAAAACCCGTATTAGTTTTGAAAAAGTCCCGAAAAATCGCTTTCATGTTGCAGAAGCAAGCATTCGATTTTCGTCCAATTAGAGCGCGCACAGACAAACGCGCAATTTCGTTTGTTTATACTCCTTTCGTCACTGAGAAAGCTTCAAACCAAAGCTTCAAACCAAAGCTTCAAAACCAGTTTTGGTTTTGCTGTATGCGTAGCGTATCTTGACGTATTGCCTGTATGATATGTGTTTATTTCCCATACAACTAACTTTTTTTTTTGACTAGATGGAACTTGTCAAGAGCTCTAAATGATGGTATATCATAGCGGTACATATAGTGCGTTTAAGGTTTCCGCAATATTACACTTCGTGAAAACTATGAAAAACTCATGTATACTGCACTGCTGATCGATTCTTTAGATAGTTTGATCAAAATCAATTTCTATTTGATTAGGTTTACTTTTTGTGTACTCAAAAAGTGAGTACACTCTAGAATCGGTTAGTATGTCCGGCCATCCGGCCGTTAACACGATAACTTTTGAAAGCCCCATCCAATTGCCATGAAATTTTGTACACAGAATGATCTCATCAATATCTCAGTCGAGTTCGAAGATGAAAACAATTACACAAAAAATATCCTTAATTTCTATGTGAATAGTGACCTATTCTATTTTATTATCATTTTTTTCTCAACCGCAAAGATTTATCATAATCAAATTAATTCTTCAACTATCATATACCATTAGATAGGAAATTTCATGGGCTGCAAAATGATGCAAAATTATAAGGGTAAACAGGTTGCTCACAAGATTCCTCTGTATCAGTGTCGAAAAACTCATATATCTTGATAATGTGTCGGTGTGATATTTGTCTATTTTTCATATGAGCAATACCTATTTTTTCAAAGTAAATGGAACTCGTCATTTCGCAACAGTCTTTATGAGTTGTATCTTGAATAGTGTATTCGTTCCTCTTTCTAGTTTTGCTGCGCATGACATAAAACATTTACGATGAAATAGGAACAGAAAAAAATGGATGTACATTTTTGCTTTTTGAATTACACATAACAATCGGATGCAAATCCGATGTTTCCGTATTTATTTACTCCAGATATCGATTTATCTTCAAATATAAAATACACATATTTTGGATCAATATTCAACTTTGTTGTTACCTCATTGAAACAGTATATCGTTAAATACCGAACTATGAATTAGCTAGATTCTTTAATGCAACTAGTCTTCTAAATAAATTTTTACACTACGAAAGAAATTAATTTAATAAGAATAAAATATAAACGTTATTTTTTCCATAAAAGAAAAAAACACTGTTCAAGAAACTCTTTATTTCTTGGTCTTTGGTTTCTTCATACGTTTTGTTTTTAATCCAATTAAATCTTCGCCCATCATCTTAATACGTTCACGTGTTTGACATTCTGGATTGTCTTCACCAGCATTATCATCATCTATGAAAACAAACAAAAAATGTTAACGTCATTCAAAAGTATCAATACGAACCACCATAAATGTTTCCTTTAACTGTCGATGGTGGATTAATACGTGTATTGTATGCCGGTAATCTTCCATCACCAGCATATTGAAGCTAAAAGATTAAAAAGCGTATGTCAAATAGATGCATATATTTGTATTTCAATTATATTCACATCTAATTGTCTCATTTCTTTCAGTGTGCCTTCTAAATCTTTTGTTTCAAGTTCTTCAACAAGTTTAACAAGTTTTTCTTCCGTTGTACCAAGTAAATCAAGAACATAATCATTCGATTGTGATGATATAACGGTGGTTGGTACATGACTTTTGGTCTAAATATCAATGAATTTTAGACATCAATAACAATTATCCATGTTTCTGTTTTCTTTGATACATACGCCTTTAAGATGATGCAATTTATCTGCTAAATGTTCAATGCCAGATTTAACCTCGATCATCTTTTTCATTGTTTTTTCCATTTTTGTTGCATTATCGTCACGTCGTTTTTCACTTTCATCAAATTTCTCTTGAGCTTGTTCAAGAATACGTTGACCACTAGAATAAACAGATATTTATTTATTTCAATGAGAACAAAAACACTGTTTTTTGTCGTTTAGTTGCCGTACGTTGATGTTTTAGCTTCACCACTATATTTCATTTCTTCGAATTCTTTATTTAAACGTGCTTTTTCATCTCGTAATTTAGCAACATTTTGTTCTGAATCTTCTTTCATTTTTTCTAAATGAGCTGTTGTACTATCTTGAGACATGAAACGTTCAACAACTTCCTACAAGTACTCCTTACTTTCGTAAAAGAATAAAAAACACAGAATAAACAAACAACCTGCATCGTACTAGCACCAGTAGCTTCTTTAATTCGTGAAAAAGCATTTTCATACATATCAATTTTCGTTTGGTCTTGTTCAGATAATTTATCTTTCAAATCTTCTAGGGGACTTGTTGGACGTTGAAGTGCACGACGATCAATACGTTCAGCATGTAGTTTTTTTTCTTCAGCTTCACTTTTCAATTCATTTAACCGAAGTTCACGTTCTTTACGTTCTCGATAAACTTTATCTTCGCTTTTTTTCAATTCATTTTTAGCATTCTTTTGTGCTAAATCAGCTTCGAGTGCACTACGTTGTGCTTCATGTAATTCTTGTTGAGTACGACGAATTTGCGTTGACATAGCATCGAGACGATTCGTATATGTTAAACTTTCTTGAATTAAATGTGATTTTATTTGATTGTAGGTTCGTTGAATAGTAACAGCTTCTGTACATTTTAATTCAGCTTTATCGAGTCGATTTTCAAGTTGACGTAGACGCTACATTTAGAAACAATAAATTTTTCTTGTCTATAATAAACTAGCTAATAAATATTTATTAAGATAATCAATAGAAAGATATTTGCATATCTTTCATTGTATTAATAAAAATATAGTAAATGATTCAGATGATAATGCGACGTATGAATTTTTCACTGTCAAATACTCTCACATTTTTCATATAAGAAACATGATGAAGAATAAAACAAATTCATTCGACCATTCTTTAGTAATTTGACATCGTTGATATTTTTACTCAGTGTCAGTATGTGAAGTCGTCAGAAATAAATCATTACAGAAAGATGAAACAGTAGTTGACGTCAGTATTTCAATTAAGAAAAATGTATACATACAGCTGCTGTTTCTGATTCACCAGCATCGGTTTGAACAGCTTCTTCAGCTTCTTTAACCATTAAATCATATCGTGTTCGAAGTTCTTCGAGTTGTTTCATTTTTGTTGCATTTGTATGTCGATGAGCATTAAGACGATTTTTCAGGTCACCTAATTGTTCATTGGTTAATTGAATAGCTGCCTGCATATTTATTTATATAATTGATAAAAATATTGCAAAGTAGCAGCCAACTTACTTGGCCTGTTTTATTTTTAAGCGCTGCTCTTTCATCTTTTCGGCCACTGAATGCTTCATTGAGAACTTTTTCGTCACCCTATATTATTACAATATAATATTAGTTAGCATATTAAAACATGAAAAATAATTTCATAATGGAAATTTTTATAAAGAGCAGAAATTCAGAACTTTCTTAAAATTAAATATCAAACTAATCTTACTTCAAGTAATTCTTTTAGTTTTTGTCGTTTTTCTTTATTTTCTTTTTGTAATTGAACAATTTTTCGTTTATTTTTATCGGTTTGTAAATCAACCTGTTCAATATAAGCTTCTTGACTACCCTCTAAAATGTAAATGTATTCGATTTCTATGGTATTTCTCGAACTACCAACAACTTACCTAAGAGTTGACGCTTTTTACGTAACTCTTCAATCTGTTCAGCCATAGACAATTTATATTGATACTGCTCATTGGATTTAGCACCTGACGGCATGATGAAAAATAAACGTAACTTTTTGAATGTCACAAACAAAAAGAAATGTTTCCTAATGTCGATATATTTGTTGACTTTGCAACCATTACAAGTATGAGTTGCTTAGCAATGAAGTTTCATATTCTTTTAAATCTTATTATAAATTATAGAAAACCAAAATGAGATAAAGCTAACTATATTTTGTTTTAATACAAGAAAATTTAAATACAAATTTAAACCATGAAATATGAATATGATTTGAAATGAGCGACCCCTATCAAAGATGACTTACATATGATTCAGAATTTGACATTCGTACTTCAATGTATGTATGTATGTGGGTGAATATGTAGTTGCATAAGTTTTGCGCAATAGTATTGTGAAATAACTTTACATGATTAATAAAATATACATCATCTCATCATTAAAGGCAAACGATAAAAGACGATTACAAATTATTTATCTTGTAGTAGCTTAGCTAGTGAAAAGATCTCTTACTTTTAGTGTAATATTTTTCTATTATTCTAGAGAGTTTAACATGCCTGAGTCTATTTATCAATCGGAAACAAATGATACACATTATAATGAAATAAAAAATCTTCGTTCCAGCACGACAAATAAACGATTACGACGTTTACGCGTATTTGAACGTACTCATTACAAGAAAACATTTGAAGTGAAAAAAACGTAGGCTAATTCATAATAATACTATTCTTATTTTATGATCATTAAATAAATGTATTTTTTGTCTCCAGAGGCCATAATTTAGAAGATATTCATCGTTTATATGATGGCAATTTACGATATGCAATACACAACTTAACTTACTCATTAAATAAGAAAAAACGTTGGTTATTACCTGATATTATCCGAGAACGCATTTGTGAATTTAATCCTAATGCTAAACCTTTGAGCTGTAAAAAAGGTGATGAATTATCTTCTATTGATGAACGTCTTAAAATAACTATGTATGAAAATGAAAATGTTCATCACTCGTCTACTTGTATACGTTATGCTAATAATCAAACAGTACCACATGTTCTATACAGTAATGGACGAAGATTTAATTCAGCAACATTAACAAAATGGATTAATTTTGATACACGTGAACGCTGGAATAGTCGTCATCGAAATCATAGTAATGATCGAATCAATCAAACAAATTTTGGTATCCAACAACGACCAGGATTTTTTCCCAGTGAAGTAACATATAAATTTTTATATCCGAAACGTCTTTCATCCAATGAAACGCATAGAAATGGAAAATCATCATTGCAATATTTTAACCATCCAGATGCCTATGATTGGAATGCACGAAGATCCAGAGATACAAATCAACATCGAAGAAAACTGCGAAGATTCGAATGTATGAAAGTCGATTTAGATGAATATGAATATAAATATGATTCTGAAGAACAGCATATTGATACAAATGAATTCGTCAATGTACAATCAAATTTGATTGATGAAAATGATAAATGGTCGATTGTTTTTGAAGAATCAGGTAAATTGTCTTTTTGTTATGAACTTTAATAGAAATTAGTCACGATCTTTCTAGATGATCAATGTTCGTCTTCTGTTGATTTTCCAATTGAATATTTTTTTCCTTCAATAGTATCCTCAAATTGTAAATCTAGATTGATTTCGAAGGAAAAACCACGAGATAATATCTATGATCGTAAAGCGCATAAATATTTCGAACCTTGGCCAATATCCAACGAAAACAATAAAAAGAGTTTAATAGTCAACGAAGATTTATTATGTTCTATTCCATGTCAAAATGAATCAGATTTTCTTTCTTTAATGCAACAATCAACAATGAAAATTTCTCAAGGAAATCATTCACCTCCAATATTTCTTCAACGAACATCAACATCAACTTTTTCTGTTACATATTCATATTGTCGAACATCATCTACCATCGAAGCAATACTCAAATTTGCTGATCTACCTCCAAATATTGCTTTCAATAAAAATGATATAACTTTAAACAAATTAATTGAATTAACATCCAAGAAATTAGATGAATATCAAACAGAACAAAAAAGTCCATCAGTTACAATTAATCATTCAAATGTTGATGCTTTACGTGGTTCATTACCATTACCATTAACAATTACACAGAACATGATTTTAGTTCGACCTAATTCAACAGATAAATTAATAGCATTAAAAAATGAAAATCTCATCGAAGAAAACTGTAAACAACAAGAACAATGGTATAATACTCTAAGTCATTTCTCTGAAACATTAGAATGTTCAATCTGTTGCGATCCGTTAACTTTCAACGAAACTTATCAACTTCTTCCTTGTATGTATCTATATTTCCAAACAAAGATTGAATCTGAATGTTGTTGTTTTTCTCCTATAAAAAAAAAACTCAATAGGTCTTCATACACTTTGTCATTCGTGTTTGACATCATATATTCGTACAAGCATATCATCAGCAACATATTCTTCTTCAAGTACATCTCAAATAAGTTGTTTTGAACAAAATTGCTCAACAAAATTGAATTCATCACTTCTGCAAGCATTTCTCCCCTTTGAAATCTATCAAACATATGAACAAGCATTGATTGATCGTCATTTATTTTCATCTGGTAATTATCGTAAGTGTCCATCACGTATTTGCTCAAAATTACTTATTCTCGATGATAAAACTAACACATCATTAATGTGCTCATGTGGTCAACGTATTTGTTCCGAATGTGGAGAAGAATATCATTTTCCAGCTTCGTGTAAACAATATAAAACGTATGTTATGCGTTTACGTGAAAGTGGTGATGATTTGTTAAGTTCATCAAAAGTTGGAGATAATTCAACTTGTTATATAGCTGAAGGAAAAAATTGTCCCAACTGTGGTGAATTTGTTGAAAAGAATGGAGGTAAATTTCTAAATGAGAAAAATCGATGAAAAATAAATCAACTTTTAACAAACTATTTTAGGTTGTCCTCATATGACATGTAAATGTGGCAGTGAATATTGCTGGATGTGTTTAAAACGATGGTCAGCACATAATTATGCAACTTGTGTTAATATAGCTGAATCAACACATGAACTTCGTTCATCAACACGAAATCGTTTACACAATAAAGCAATAAATCATCGTCGTGAACGTAATCAATATTCATTTCATTTGTTATCATTATCTGCACGAAATTTTAAAATTCCTCAGCTACATCATGATATTATTTTATCAACTTATATTGATTTAAATACATTAGCTGAATTTGTTTATGTTCTATTACAACGACGACGTAGTGATATTAATATTCGTGCTGTGTTAGCACGAACAGCAAAACGTTTAGAAAATGATGCATTTCAAATAAAATTACAAATTCAAGCTAACCAAATTAAAATGGAGCGAATTGAACAGATGCGATTGAGACTTCAAAGAACTGTAATGAGTTTATTGCATATGAAGCAAACAAAGATTTTGGTATAATCTATTTTATTTTTGCGAAACTTTAAAAATTTGAAGTAGTTTATATATTTTGTAATATTTGTGCTTTTACGGTGAAATTGAATATGTGATATAAATAAAAGCAATATATTTTATAATAGAAGTAGAAGGGTCAGAAAAGAACATTCACGTCTAATGTATTAAATTACTTTTAATCGAAATTCTTTTTTTTTAATGATGAGCAATGACTACCAAGATTCATTCAAACGGTCACATCTATCTGTAAATAATTTACAATATATTTTAATTGTATTAGAAAAAACTAGACACTTCATATCGAGTAATTCCAAATCCTATGAATATTTTTACATACTTAGTTCTGAAAATCTCTCACGTCGATAAATTCTATAGCAAACATTATTGTAAACAGGATATTTTAAAACTATATATAAAACAAAATTGTACTAATTGCTTTTATCTATTTTTATAGCTCATGTATCAATTAGTTTTCTTGATATTCAAATCTGATTGACCACCTATTTACGATGCAGAATTTTCTGTCATTGTTCGAATGCTTGTACATTCATAGAAATTATTTAGATTTTAACAAAAAGGTTGTTATCAATTGTAGGCGGAAAAAAGGAGCATATCAACAGTATATTATTATAGTCAATCGAAAAAGTAACCTGACAAATATATTAACTATACTGATGCAATAGAATCATGCGAATTGGTTTATATTATGCACTTGTTTTAAAGAAAATCTATTCTTGTGATCATACTATTCAAAAAAGTGACCTTCATAGCTTACCGATATTGTGCTCAGACTATAGACAGCTTAATAAACTATATGTCAAAGCTAGGAATGTATAGTTTCATTTTTAATCACCCCCTATGGTATAGTTGCAATAACATATTTTGTTCTACCAGATATTTTCAAATAGCTACGTAATTCAAGAATTTGCTTTACAACGAGTGGTAGAAGAAAATTACAGGCCAATTAAGATCACATTTTATTATGAGAGAGATAATTTCAAGCACAGATTTTATGATAGTAACATTGAAATAAAGTGACGTTCATCGTTGATTTACTATAGCATGTAGTAAGTAATCATTTTATTTTTACAATAACTCCTTATATCGAGAATTTTCATTTAGAGTAAAATTAAAATTCTCCGGTCGTTCTCCTAGAAAAAAATACGTCTATTTTGTAGAAGGTTTATCTAGTGGCCCAGTCGTTTATACTTTTGTGTTCAAATGTATATTCTTGTTTTACTTTCATGCATAGTGGTAATCGATTCTTCATTCATCGTCGTTATAATTCTATTCACACATAAGTACCTTGCTATTTTTCTTCTTTGTTAATTTATCACATTTCTTTTGTATTATCGACTAAGAGCTGAGATGATCCATCGATCAGTTCTTCCAACAAGTGACTGAGTAAAAGTCAGTGTTTAAATTTTTAGTGTTTTCATCAAAATCTTCTATCCTAGTATGACGAAACTCAGCTATATGCAAAGAATGATCTTACGAAGAAAGTCTGCCTGTCTATTCATTCCTGAGAGTAATGATCATTTTTTTCTTCATTCCAGTAGACATGATAAAGAAAATGAATCCATTTTACCATTCGACTTCATAAGAGCATAATCAGAAGAAGTTGAGAAGGATGCATAATAAGTGCAAGACTAAAGATTTTTTCATCTTAATCTAGAAAATCAATATCAGGATTGAGCTTCTTAAAAGTCGTATTGTTTTATTATACATCCACACATGCTGCTAAATGAGTAGCCAGTAATTTGTTAACGAAGTCACAAATTCTTCACCTTGGGAAATGTATCACAACAGAAGATGTATGTTTATGTATTTAACTTCAATCAATAATCATATTCATTTAAATCTGTTTCAATTAAAAAAATTCTACTGGATTGCTTTTCTTTTCCTTTTTAAATAATTGTATGCTGTCGTTTTATTTTTCTAACTAATAGAATCAGAAATGCTTCAAAGCTTATCAAGTATTTAATCGGTGGAAGTTGCGTTTTCGAATGATCTAATAGAAATACTAACACAAACATATTCTCTAATAATGAATCATTTTTTCACAAAAATGCTCAAACAATTTGAAATAGTATAGTTACTTGACAATATTACTTTTAAATTGTTTTAAATTTTTTTAGTTTTTCCATGTACGTTAGTCATCTAGATTCTTCTTTTTTTGGATTGGTTTGGTGGGGACCTATAAAAAATATTGGGAGAAATAATCAGAATTTCATCGATTTTAATCTAAATATCAGCGTTACGAACATTAAGTGTAACAAGCAAAAGCAAAATGTTCGAAACCCTTGCTAAATAAGATTTACACACTGTTTTACACTTTGGTGAAAAAAGCAACGTGTCAGAAATACACTGTGTATATTAAATTTACATTTTACTTTGTGATTGTGATGATGATGAAAATGGAAAAATTCTATTTGTACAAATTTATGTCGTATTAGTTATATTATATCGAAGAATAAAATACTGAGCACTGCATCTTGCTATCAAATTCACTATTGGCTAATCTTTCGTTTTCCTTTCTCGAATCATTACCCAGGGCGAGGCGAACCGTGACGGAATGCGTTCTGAACAGGCGAACGCGTTCGAAAAAAGCGCCATCTACTAGCGAACGTGCTGTAAACAAGCAGACGAACACGTTCCGAGCGACTTGTTCCGAACGCGTTCTGCCGTTCCGAACGGTCGTTCGAAAATCGTTCGGAACACCAGAACGCGTTCGGAACAAGTCGCTCGGAACGTGTTCGTCTGCTTGTTTACAGCACGTTCGCTAGTAGATGGCGCTTTTTTCGAACGCGTTTAGCCATTTTTCGTCCGTTCGGAACGCGTTCTGTCACCGTTCGCCTCGCCCTGGGTAGAATCAAATCTAAATAATGAAATGATCATGATCAGTATCAGTATGATAATGAAATTATGGTTAATTTTTTTGTTTGTATTTGTACTTGTATTGTATTCTGTTTAAATTGCGTACTATATCTATATATTATACATGTACTGCTCATAAATTCAACTCAGCTTTCTCATTATACTAACAATAAAGCTTTTTACTTTTTTTCAGATGAGTAAAACTCAAGTAAAGTTATATGAATATTTCAGTAAAAACGCAGCTTCGATTAAATCAAAACGTGGCTCTTCATTATCTTCAATTACAAGTGAACGTGAACATGAACCTAGTTTATCGTCATCATCTTCTTCATCAATAGTTGAATCAAGCTCAGCATAGAGGTCGAATCAATATGGTTCTGCGATGATCATGCAGATATGCATCTTGAAGACGATGGAGATGACAAGTTTGACTGATATTTTTTCTAGAGTTTGTTTTAATTAAATTGTAGTTTTTATTTGTTGTTGTTGTTGTTTTTGTTTAACTTGAATCTTGATGTATATTTTCTTCACAGGTGTGTAAAGATTCATTGTGCATTAAGAGCAGTCGTGTTCGTCTATATCTTTATCGTTAAATTTATATTATGCATTTGTTTTTCACATCTTTATGATCACATACAAACATGAAACGGTTTATTTTCTAGATTATATAACAAAATTCAATACTTACACTTTGATACACTTTGCTTACGAAAATAAAGTGTGACAGTACACATTGTGAACTTGAGCATAGTGTAAGAAGACATCTTGTTTACGATTTCCATTCGGAACGCTGCTAAATATGCCTTCAAATTGTTTAAATAGGGATCAGCTAATCTCGATAAACATGATTTACAAGTATTTACTTCAAAAGTGAAGAAAACACTATACGACGATGAAAACTTTCTTGTACAAAAAAATATTCCACAACGTTATTTCTTGCTCATTATTAATTATATTGTTATGAATTACATAGTGATAATTAGCTTCACGAAAAAAAAAATACAAAATATTTCTTCAAAGTATTATGTTTCAAGTTTGTTTTTGCACGGTTTTTAATTATATCATCTTTTGTTTTTCCTGATAAATCATCGAATTACTCAAGCTCATTCATTAGTTATGTTCCTCGATCAGTTCGAATTCCTAATAGCATTTATAATCTATCGCAATTCATCGTAAATAATAAAATCAATGTGTCGATCATTTCAATTAAAATAATTGATCCAAATTTAAATGTTTTAAGTGTATGTGTAAGTCGATTGCGTTTAAGTGGTTCAGCAACATTCATTATTACAAAACGAAATGAAATATTAAATTCACATTTTTCGTGTTTATTTGATTATGCATCGATTACTCCCGTGTATACATTCGTTATTAAAATATGAAACAGAACAACTTTGTTTTTTGAATGTTTACTTTCAGATTCAATTATTCGACGTCTATTTTATAATCGAACAATAAGTCAACAAATAAAAATCGTTCTTTCTACATCAACAAAAGTTCTCGTTCAATGTTTTCTTGATATTCCATGGTCATCTTGGACAGAAGACAATGAACAGTCACTAACTTTATGTACTATCTCATCATACAATAATTTAACATATTTCATTCAATGGATTGAATTTCATCGTTTAATTGGTATTAGTAAATTTGTTGTTTATAATATTTCAAATATGAATCTTCAAATTTATTCTACAATTAATCTCTATGAAGAAGAATATCCTGGCTTAATTGATATTATCGAACGAAATCGTTCTGTTGATAAAATTCAGTATGATTGCTTTTTACATTATGGAGATATTTCAGAATGGTTTGCGTTCATTAATTTAACTGAATATTTAATTCCACCAATTCTTTATGAAACTCTTCCCAGAATGTTAAATAAAGAATATGGTAGAAATTTACAAGTTTCTATTATGTTAGAGAATCAAGAATTCTGTTCTAATATTCAATATCCATTGACAGAAAAAACAATCCTAATCGAACGCTACATATCATGGTCTATAGTTTCAAATAATCCGGTCAAATATTTGTATCAACCTCGTGGTATTAACTTTTTATCGATTCGTCAAGATCACCTAGAAGTAAAATCTAATGATCAAATGAAGAAATCCATCGTGCTCGCACAATATTCAATCATCGGACATGATAAAACTCTTTTAAATTGTGTATTAGATAAATTTGTAATAGATACAACGATCCGAGAACGATTTGGTAAACGCTGAATTGATAAAATCGATATATCATCATCATCGATGTTAAATTACATGCACAAAACAAACACATATAGATTCCTTATTTAAATAAAACAAAACAAAACAAAACAAATAGTGACATCGCAGTGAACAGTATTCATTTAGCGATCACTTGTTTTCTTTCTCACTGTGTATGATCATCAACGAGCAGATACATCTTATTCATTCTTCTTCTTTACTAGAAACGTGCGAATGATCAATCGTGTAAAGTAGGTTATACATGTTTACTTCTGTATGATGTAGTTTTGAATTTTTACAATTATATTGAGCTTATATGAATATGACGATTGGTTGTCAAACGATATTTCTACAACAAAATAAGTTGATGAAAAATGACCAGCAAAAGACATTATTTGATTTTATCGATACTATTCACTGGACTCAATATTGCGTATCTCTTTTTTAAATTAATCAATTGGAAAGAAAATAAAGATGAATCATTGAATGTTTTCCTCAAATGATCGAATTTGTAAGTGATGTATCCAAGTGCTAACTGGAACGCTTTATATTTTCTAAAGTGATTGTATCATGATATTGGCCAGTATTTTCAAAATTCTTCATGAAAACATGTGATTCATATACAGTTGATAATTACATGGTAGATATCAATCGATAGAAAAATCTTATTTAAAAACAATATTTAGCCAACTTATAATTGTGTGAATAAAAAAACTTACAATAAGAATTCATTATGCATCATTCTGTATTCTCGGTTTTTCAATGAAACTTACAAAACTAGTAACTAAACATGACATTCTTGCACTTCTTTCAATAAACATTAATATCAAGGTAAAATTAATGTTGAATGGTGATATTTTCTGGACGGTTTGCAATTTTGTTTAACATGACTAGAATAGCTACTCATTACATACGATTCATGTCATACTTTATACATATAATTTATTTTTCTTTCTATGATGCAGTCGCCTTTATCACACCAACGCCTCCATAGTATGTGCATGAAAATGCAAGTATGGTAATGTATTCACTGAATATTGCTTATCATGATTTTTTCGTTTATCGTTCTATCACGTTCGTCATCGTTTGGTCTTCTATCTTTTATTCATGGTCATGCACAGTATGCTGACAGGTACGCATTCGTAAGAAACAATTTTCATATAATTAGCAATTGACATCAAGAATAGGTAGTGTACGAGCCGAAAATGTTTGCTTCTCAATATCCGCCACCACTAAATCCACCCAGAACAACAGGTCAACATCATCACAAAGAAACTATTTGGAGAATTCTTCTCGATATAATTAGTCTTATAATATGTAGGTGTTATGTTTAATTTCTTCTTTTTTATTGATAATTAAACGTTTAACTATTTTCTTCTAGTAATTGCTATAGCAGTTATTATAAATTTTGTTGCAAAACCATTTACACGGGGTTTTTTCTGTTCGGATACATCAATACAATATCCAAAACAAGATAATACAATACCAACTTCTGCTGCTGTTATTTTATCAATAGGTCTTCCAATTATTTGGGTATGATTTATACATATATACATATATATTTATGCAATTAATAAATCAAAACATGAAATATATATATGGTCTTTAGATGTGGATCACAGAGATTTGTAAACAAATTTATTTTAAAATATATGAAAAAAAAATGTATATGACTTATGTAGAAATATCTTACTTACGAGCAATATTTGTATATCCATTGGTTCGTAATTTATATATACTCACGGGTGAGACTGGCTATTTTATAAGTCCTATAGCTAGATTATCTTCTTGAATTTAGTTATATTTTTCTATGGTTATCTTGCAACTTTCATTTTAACTGAAATTGCAAAGAATTTTGTCGGTGAATTACGCCCCAATTTTCTAGCCGTATGCCAACCGACTTACAATTGTTCAGCTGTCACATCATTAAGTCAATTTCATAGTTATCTTCAATACGAAAGTAATTATACATGTCAGAATACAGATGACTCAGCCGTACGAGATGCACGGTAAATAAGTCATTTCTTTTTTAACTATTACAATAATTTATATGTGATAAGGCATGTCAATAGAGTTGAGCTATTTTTATTCTAAAGGCCATTGGCATACACGATTCTTATTTTAGATATGATCATGAAAAATAGACTCGTTTAATATTGTATGTCCTAAAACGTCTGTATAACAACATATGTATTGATTTTTTTTTCTATTGATTTCGACCTTGATTCTTAATTATATTGTTAAATAGATGCTGAAATTTTTTCTTACTTTCATTTAGCAAAGCTTTCTTTAGTGGACATGCTTCGGCCATATTTTGTAAGGTTTATATTTAAATCTTTCGTTTTTAATTCGTTCCTGTAAAACATAGATGGTTTCGTTTGGTTGATAATGTATATTCATGTTTCATGGTCATGGCGTCATCTTGGCATTGTGGGCCATTTATTTCAAGTTGGTATTGCTATACTTGCATTTTATATTGGTAATCACAAAAAAAAATTTTTTTTTTCTCTCATATTATTATCTGTGTTGTTATATGTAATAGCTTACACGCGTATTAGTGATTTTCAACATAATTGGTATGATGTATTAGTGGGCATTATTGTCGGTTCTTTTATAGCATTTTTCACATTTAAATTTATCCTGGATTGGCGTCGTTATACTCCTCCATTTCTTCCTTACATAGTAAGCTCATCACCAAGAACATCACCAGTATTTCAACCAGGCCACGGTGATTTTAGTTTCTCGAATTCATATAATGTACGCGAGCCGATTCGTTATTTTTATTAAAATCAAAGCTCATCTTTCTATTGCTTTACTTCTATTTTTGCTTTATATTTACATTTAAAACAAAGTGATCTCTTGTGTATTTATAGATTGATTTTATAAAAAAAAATAACAACTATATTCTTTGTAATGAATAATAGCAATTCAGTACGTCGTTTTTCACCTTCCAAACAACAACAGCAACATCTTAATGACTCCACAACAGCAATGAGATGGATTCAAAAGCCTCTGGTTGCTGTACGAAGGTATCATTTTTTACCTATTCAACAAAGTCTTCTATATGTAATTATATAAATGAAAGTTTGCAGATTGATAATGGTTAGTTTGAAAGACGAAGATGAGTAGCACTAAGACTGTCTAATATATTTCGATGAATACATGTATCGAAAACATATTTTAGAAGTCAAATATTTTCGAAGAAAATGTTGTGTGTACATTTTAAAGTGAGATTTTTATGCCTTCTTTACCACACTTTACAGATATTAATAACTTCATCATTCCGGTAATTAAAGTCTATACTAATGCAGCTGTTATTTCTTCTTTTTTTTCTCTTCATCATCACAGACAATTTAAAAAAAACAAGGCCACTCCATTAAAAACGTTAATAGCTCACATGTACTATAATTACATGGTATTAATGACTAGTGTAGATCACTAGGGCAGATCTAAGAAAACGATCTACATTATCAGTACAAATACTAGCAAAATAATAGCCCTCGTGATATGGTTTAGTAACTAAGTAATACTTCAATTACAGATCTTAATAATAAGATTCATTTTCATGAAAGATTTTTCATCTAAGCTATGTTACATTAACTGAATGAGACTAAATAAGACATACGTGTATGTCTTCCACATTTTAGTCTCAAAGGGACTGTGTTTAAAAGTTTGTTTTATTCGACCATATTTCCATTCGTAGATACTTCGTAGTCATATTCATGTGTAATTTTTTATCTTTTACATTTTAGTCTTCAATCCACAACACAAGAAATTTCGTTATTAAAACTGATTTTCGATGGCTTTTCAATTTTACTAGGTTTGTTCTATTTTTTGTTTTTGTTGATGTTATTAATTTCTCTGTGATAAACAGTATTTTCGCCATGGTTAATTTTTAAATATTTGGTAAAACCAATTCGACGATCTTTTCTCTGTTCGGATTTAAATTTATATCATCCAAAACCAATAAAAACAGCTGTTCCCACATGGCTTCTTGTTATATATGCTGTTGTTATACCAGTGATTATTGTAGGTAGATTATTTCTTTTGATAAAGGTTTAGCTATTATTCGATTTATTCAGATACTCTGCTCGGAAGGTGTACGTTGGTACTATTTAGTTCGTAAGAGAGCAGCACCTATGATTTATAAAATTCAAATTCGTTCGACCATTTATAATATCTCACAATGGACAGGAAATCTTTATATTAGTCTTGGTATTCATTTTTTGTTCGTATTGTCAAAAACATTTATAGAGATTTTTTTTTATAATTTAGTCGTCTTTGCATTTGCTCACGGTGTTAATTCCTTTTTAACAAATGTTGGCAAAGTTTCTGTTGGTCGTCTTCGTCCACATTTTATTCCATCATGTTTCAATAAATTTAGTTATACAGATTTTTGTAACGATCCTAACCAATGGATTTCTAATTATACGTGTATCGGAGAATCAAGTACTGTTCTTAAAGAAAAAGATGGAGCTTATGATATTCGGTAAGTTCTATAACTATGTTATCAATTATGAAATAGTCAACTATTCTGGAAGGAATTTTTTTACGATGATTTCTATGATGACTTTTGTTTTGTTTTCTTATGATTTGAAAATATTGAATTATTTGCCTGTAATAAAAAATATTGTATAGATCAAAGTCTTAGCTATGTACGTAAAAATATATGTTTTCTATTAGACAATCGTTTCCATCAGGCCATGCATCAACAGCATTTTGCGGTTTAATGTTTTTGGCTGTAAGTTGTTTTTCTTTTTTTATATGGCTCTAGTTTTCCATTCGTTTCATTTTTAGCTTTATATTCATAAAATTTGGAGATATCGCAATATTGGTTTATTCCCATATGTTTTGGAAATGGGCTGCTTTGCTTTAGCTGCATATATTAGTTTGTTATTAGTAATCATCAATCAGATAAAAATAAAAATTGTGGTTTTTATTCTAGGTATTACACGTGTGACGGATCATCGACATCATCCTACAGATGTTCTCAGTGGAGCTATTTTAGGAAGTGTTATTGCAATTATTGCTGTAAGAATGCATTTATTGTGTTTATTTTTCCTTTCAAATTTATGTATTTTATTAAATTTTTAGTTTCACTATATGATTAAGTCATTTAAACAATCAATTTTATCACAAGTTGGTGATGGGCAAAGAAATAAAGCAGTAGAGAATGATAACATGCTATGAATTACGCATTATTCTATTAAATGCAAATATATTTACTGATACATGTCGCAGTGTAATCATTGTACATTTATCACGAGACTACTAGTTTTTTCATAGCTATAAAAAGCATAATAATGCGTAGTTAATATCAGATATCGATCATGATTGCTATATGAAAGACAGATTTTTTGTTTAAAACAATAATTATATTTAAAAAAAAATTAAGAAACGAAAATGTTACGATGAAAAAGAAAATAAAACAAATAATTTATAAATGTATGCATAAAAAATGATTAATGTCACTTGGGAAGAAAAAAGAAATCAATTAAAAGAATCCTTTCCAGTTGTAATCATTCAAAACAAAATGTTAATAAAGAAATTCTTAGAAAGCTATCTAATAGCTTATGGATCGTATCTTAAATAATATTGTGAATATATGTGGTATGATAATACATCGAGAAGAAAAAGGAATAGTGCATTTTCATCAGTGAATATTCGATTTTATGGAAAAGGACGAAAATCTTTCTGGCTTTAATCATGACTATGTAAATTTTGGTTTTTCTTCCCTTCAATTTTAATCGGGATATATTTTGAATTGTTTATGAAATATTCAATTTGTAGAGTAAATGACATTGACAGATTGTCACTAAATAACTCAAGCGCATACTCAATAAACTGAAGCCTAACTGAACTGCTTCAATCGAAGAATTAATATTTAAAAGGGGTTTAGCTGAAGATATATTTCTTTTACAAATATCAACAGACAATCGTTAGTAAAGACAAACAATAGAGTCCTGCAGGTTAAGACTTTTTTGTACCCTAACCCTGCCCTATCGTAAAACTTCGTACCCTTGTCCTGCCCTGCCCTACGACGTTCTTACCCTAGCCCTACCCTGCCCTAGGGGCTTTGTACCCTTACCCTACCCTATCACAGAGATTTTTCATTTTACACCCTATCATATCCTTAGTTTCAGGTCCAAGTAAAAGTCAGCATGAAGTTTTTCTTCATTTTGTTTCAATATATTTTATTGATTTTCAACGAGAATCAAATACAAAATTAACTAGATGATACTCGAGCTTTACTCGACTACGAAATGCGGTGCGAAGCACAGGTTCCAGTATTGAGAACAGAGGCTTCCGCAAA